TCACGGCTGCAAACATTTTTTAACAAAACATAAGTGACTCAAATCCTGTTGCCAACAAATCCACGTTGCACACGTCATACGAAGAAGAGACCAGTTTAATAGCTCTTAATATGTTAAAAAGACGGACATCGGGTTTTTCTCTACCTGGTGCTTGATTGCTGCCCCATGTGTGAATAGAGTACAGTAGTTCCCATATATACAGTACGTATGTACAAACAAGTCGATTCATTAATGTTTTTGTGTTGCAGGCCACTGCTGAGCAAATTCGGCTTGCCCAGATGATCTATGACAAGAATGATGCTGACTTTGAAGACAAGGTTAATCAGGTATAGAAACGGGGTCATTTGTGTCAGGGTTTGCACAACAATCTGCCATGCATTCCCACTTGCCGCTCTTAACCAGGATTTAGCTGCATTATTTAACAAAATTGAAACCTGCAATGCGGTAGTGCCTTCAACATTGTAGATGGCTGGCTCAAGTTCAATTCTTCGCTCACAGTATGGCCTATTGGCAAAAGGTTATCAATTCAGACACCTGATGATTTTGGCCCGTTGCACACTGAACAATGAGGCACAACGAGACAACTTCGGTTGTGTACGTTTAATATTCATTTGAAAATTGGCTTCGCGATAGTTTCTGTAAAAGCCGAAATGAAGAAACTCCTGACATCTTTTTACCGCTTTTTAAAAAAATCTGCTTTGTATTTTCCGCAGCTGATGGAGGTTACTGGCAAGAATCAGGATGAATGTATGGTCGCGCTTCATGACTGCAACGAGGATGTGAGCAGAGCCATCAATTTCCTCCTGGAGAGCACCTCGGATATGGTAGGCTTGTGCAATACAAATTTTCCAATCATTTGATCGACTGCATGGATGAATGAACCACGAGAAACTCATCTGTTATTCCCCTTGCACTGAACCGCTACATGGCAGCCTTAGATTTTTGCTTACGCTTTGTGTTCAGACCTCATGGGAGACCGTAGGGAAGAAGAAGCCGCTGGTGAAGGAGGCTCCTTCCGAAAGCAAGGAGAACAAGGAGAACCGGGAGAAGAAAGGCGAGAGGGAGGCGAGCAAGGGCCGTGCGTCATCCAACCGCAAGGGCAAAGGCTCCAATCGAAGCCGACAGGGTATATATCCTGTTCGGACACGCACGCATTGGCACACGACTGTCAGTCACCATTGTAGCCTTAATGTAACGTCCGCATTCATGCGCCTTTTCACCAGGTGCAGTTCGACCAGCGGAAAACGGTGTGGAGGTGACACCGGTGGACAAAGGCTCCGATCGAGGAAAGAGGGCTAAAGGTGGTCGAGGTGAGATGCTGATTTGAAAAAGGCACATTACACTTATCACTTTAGTGGGTGTAGCAGATGTCGGGCTGATGTTTACGCAGGCTCCGGCGGTCGAGGCAGAGGCCGAGGACCAGCGGCAAGCAGGTTCTCAGCCCAAGGCATGGGGTATGTTCACACTCACGCCGTTTTGGAAACGTTAAGTTGTTATCGTTTTACACTGAGTGAATGGAATTGCTTTGAAAAGGCTAATTCAAAGTATTCACTGTGATTTGCTTTCTGCACATTTTTTAGCTACGGCCCTGTTCCAAAATGGATGAAATAAATGTTTCCGTGGAAAAAAAAAAATACATTTTTTAGCTAAAGCCCTGTTCCGAAATGGATGAAATACATTTTTCCGTGGAAAAAAAAACGTTTTGCCAACAAATTCACAAAAGTTTTTTCATGTTGTCATTTTGGGTTGTTGCGGGTATCGTTTCGAGGGGGGAAAACGATTCCATTTTGAAATAAGGCTGTAACATAAAATGCGGAAATTGTGAAGCGCCTCTAGTCCTCTCTTGATGCGCCGTCATCTATCCAATCGGATTTAATTGCCGCTTAATCACCTGTCCCTTTTAAAATCAAAATCTGTAACAATGTTCACTCTTTCATCATTTCCCAGCACCTTCAATCCTGCAGACTATACCTCAGAGGCAGGGACAGGGACCACACAGAGTGAGGCTTGGGACACTGCGGCTAACAACAATACAGATGAGATGGGTTAGTGTTGTGTGAACAGAATAGAACGCGTTCGCCATGGTGGACTGTGTTTGGTGCAAATGGCAACGGCTCAAGCGTTGTTGAGAAACTCGCAGTCTCTTTCACCTCTTTGCTCTTTTTCAGCTAACTGGAGGAACCCGGTTGAAGACTATGGACCCGAAGACTGGAGTGAGGATGTTAGTGTGAGTCCTCACCCCAACAATTTGGGGAAAGTCCGGAAGGAAAACAACTGGTGTTTAGTTCACCTTGTTCCTTTTTTTTGGTGCATTTTTGTTTGACAACAGCTCTCGGAGACCAAAGTGTTCACGTCCTCGTGTGCTCCTCCGGCTGAGAATCATATCACTTCTGGCCAAAGGTGAATAACCGACACGTTAAATAAATTGTCTCGACTTCACCCGCGATGCTCATCAGCTCTACCCATATATAAAACGGATGCATGGACGAAGCATTGTTGCGCCCACATTTTTAACCTCGCTGAATGTCATTCTGCAGTCTGGACCTCGCCTCCCTGCTGCAGAAGCCCGTGGTCTGTGGAAGAGAAGCGCCCCCCTGCTCCTCCTCCTCCTCGCAGAGTCTGGTCTTCACCAACTCGCACCACCACCACCACCAGCCAGCACAGCCGCAATATCAGCCTCCTCCTAGCCGCAGCACCACTGGTGGCACCAGCTATGCTCATGCTGCTCTGGTAAAAAAAAAAAAAAAAAAACAACAACAACTCTTCTTTAGTTTTTACTGCTAACTGTTATTTAAACCATCGACTTTTATGGTGAACACATAACATACACCGTTGGAAAAACATAGAAGATCAACTCTTCCTGCTTTTACCTCTGCCAGTCGTCTGTTCTCGGAGCTGGTTTTGGAGACCTGGGCCAAGCCAAAAGGCCTCCACCCAGTGCGGGAGCTCAGATACTGGAACAGCTTAAGGGGCCTGGCTTGGGTCCTCTGCTGTCGCATTCTGCCAACACTCAAGGCAGCTCTTCAATTGGCCGCCTACCAAGCCTGGGAGCGCCTGTACCTCCACCGTCTTCCTCCAGCTGGGACATGAAGGCGCCAGAATCGAACGCCACCACACTGTCCTCGCAGTTCAGCCGTAAGTCTCCTTGCCAAAGCCTTCAGTCGGACACTCGTGTTAGAAGTGTGCCTCATTGTGTGTTTGGGTTTATCTGTAGGTGAGTTTGGACTCCAGCCAGAGCCTTCGCTTGTGCTGAGTCAGCTTATTCAGAGGCACACTGGCCCCTCCTTGCCACTGGCACGTCAGCCCAGTCCACCATCTCAACAACAAACGGTCCCTGCGTCCGTCTCCTCTGCTTCCCAGCACAGCAGCACGTCGGCGCAGGCGGGCCCGGCGATGGCGACTGCTGGTCCCAAACTTCCGGCCCCCAGCGCTGGGCTGGACGCTCAGGGCTGCGGGACACCACAGCAGCAGCGGGCACAATTGAAAGGTCAAAAACGAAGGATACCTCCGACTTCAAAGGTACGGTTTGTTAGCGACCTTTTGTCATCCTGGGCCAATCAAATTCGTACATCTTGTGGCCAACAACGTTCGCTGTGTAATTGTGTGTGTAAACTTTTTTTCCTGTGGCAGATCCCCTCCACGGCAGTAGAAATGCCAGGCTCCACTGATGTCCCTGGTCTAAACCTTCAGTTTGGGGCACTAGACTTTGGCTCAGAGTCTGCTTTGCCAGAGTTTGGAGTTGTGGACAGCGCTCTCAGTGCAGCATCCAGGGAATCCACGCCGGCCCCTGGCCCGGTAGCGCCTGCGTCAGGATCGGGGACTCAGAATCAGACAAGCTTGTACTCCAAACCTCTCAGGTACCGTTGGATGTCATAAAATCAGATCTAACGTCATCTTTAAAATTTATTTATTTTTTAACCAGCATTAAATTACCTGTGAAAATGTATTCCTTTTCCTTGCGTTGTAGTGAGTCGCTGGGAAGTCCTCTCTCCGTCGACCTTCCTTTGCCCCTGTCGTCATCTGAGCCAGTGTATCACTCGTCCTCAGTGGCACTCCCCAGTCTCACGCCCTCTTCACTGGGGCCCGCCAGCTCCTGTACTCCTCCCTCGTCGTCGCTGACCACATCTACCATTTCGTCCGCGCCCCACTTCTCCACAGTGGGAGGAAGCTATGATGGGTCCTTGCCCCCTCAGGCACGACTGGCCTTCTCCCAGAGCAAAGAAACCACTGGACCAGTTTTGGTGAGGAGAAATCAGATACAGAAGTTGTTCCTTTTTTTTTTTTTCCTTCCTTTTATTATTTTTTTCTTATTCTAGAATGGTCTGAATGGAGTAAGGACCTCTGCGGCTTTAGACAGTACGTTACCTTGCACAAATCTGGTCATAGATGAGTACATACAATCAGTTTCTCTTTTATAAGCGCTGTCATACTCTGTTTAGTTTCCTCAGCTTCCTCCACACCAAAGCCCGACTCTCCGTCTCTTAACGCCAACGCTAACTGCGCTCCTGCGGCCTCATCCCACTTGGCCCCCTCCACCTTGCCCGCACAGAGCTCCAGCACGCTGTCCAGCCTGGCACAGGACCTTCCCTCGGCCGGCCAGCTCAACACTCTCAACAGGTGACAAGCTCACGCACACCAAGAACCGCTATGGATCTGAAAACAAACAGAACCTCAACAATCCATTTCAAGCTGCAAATGATCTTACTCGTTTGCAAACTTAACTTGCAACTACATTTTTCAATGTCTTTGCTCAGTGGACAAATACAACACAGGTGAACAACATGGTTGCGTGTTACATTTCTCCTCTTGCTTTGTGTCTGCAGCCATGTCAACAATCATTCCTCAGCTCTTGGCTCCAGTTCTTTGACTGTAAGTATATTTAGTTGTATCTCATTTCAGGGCGTTCTTTGGTTTAGGTCGTACCAAATAGGACGTTTAACTCATTCACTCCCAAAGACGTATTTAGATGTCTTTTCAGACGCCACACATTTAATCCCAGCTCCTCATTTTATATTGACTGTACTTGAAAAGGGTCTGAAAGGGTCTAGTTTGAAAAAAAACTTTGAAAAATCCAGTTTCACTGAATTGGTCTTCAAATTCTTATTTTGCACGACAAATCATGTTTCTATGCATCTGCTATCAATGCAAGCGACATCCATGGCAGAAAATATAATCAACTTGTCTATGCATCTCTGGCCATTCATACAATAGAAAAATAGTTTAGTGTTAATCTAAACAGGACCAGATCAAATTGAGATGAGATCATCATTATTTCGGTATCCCCGATATAATTTTTGTGGCACTTTTGTTTGGTGGCGTGCCTTGAAATTGTTTGAATGTAAACTGCCTCTCTTGGCTGATTACCAATTACCGGTAGTTTGGTAAGTGATTCTGGCCGTTGAAAGCATGAAGCAAGACAAATTGTATCATTTATTAACCGCTAGGCTACATCACACTCGGGGTACATAGATACCAACACGCGCACTGTAACGTGGGCAAATCAACTTTGTGTCACCCTTCAGTTCACAAGCGTCGACAGCAACAGCGTGAGCTCTCTCGCTCCCTCCTCTGCGTCCTACACGTCGTCGCAACCTCCACCTTCGGCGCTTCACTCAGCCCACAACAGCAGCAACAGTAGCAGCGGCGCCAGCATGAGCCACCTCGCTAGCATGTCCAGCATGGGCAGCAACATGAGCAGCAGCGGCGTCGGCGGTATCGCCGGCACGAGCGGACTACACTCTGCTGCCACCAGCACGGCGCTGGGACTCGGCTCCAATGGAGCTACCGGCACATCCAACCTCTCTGGACCGAGGACCGCACCCCTGCTCTCCTCCTCCACTGGTAAGCAAGAAAAGAAAAATGTGTGTTGGTATTAGTTGTTTGTGTCATGTGGTCATTGGGTTAACAGGTAAAGCCCCACCGAACCTATCCCAAGGGGTTCCTCCTCTGCTGCCTAACCAGTATATCATGGGTCCAGGGGGACTGCTCCCAGCCTACCCAGTAAGTGTCACTGTAGTTTTTAATAACAGCAAAAATAATAATAATAATAATGGGAAAAAATTGATAAATAGGATTTTCTTGATTATAAATAGTCTCAAATCTCAAAAAATAAATGTATCGAATGACTCTGGTGTTAATATCACCCAACCACTTCACCTTTTCAATTTGAATTTTGGCTCTTGACTTGGAATAAAAAACAAAGTATCAGTGTTAATTTCAAAAGTGCACCACTTATTTACATGCCGCTTTGCTTGAAATATTTGTACATTCTTGCCCCACTATATGGCGGGGGAACAATTTATATTTAACACACAGATACTACAATCTGTATACGAGTAGCTTTCATTGTTTTATGCTTTCATTATTTTTTTGTTTTGTTTAAATATGTCAACAATGTGTTTTAAAAAGTATGTTTGAATAGGATTTCATGTATTGAAAGCATGTAAAAGTATTCCTAAAAAACTGTTGACATGGTCTCTTTATGTCACTGATTTTTCACCTATCGTGGATCTGAGTATCATTTTACCTCTCAATGTACACTACAAATACAAAAGCGGCAGATATTAAATCGGCGTTTGTTTGACAGCAGATTTACGGCTATGAGGATCTCCATATGCTCCAGTCCAGACTACCGATGGTGAGCCTTAAACCCTCATCACTGCTCTTGTCTTGGAGTTGTTAGTCTGGACCAGGTCTCAATCTTGTCTTGTGCTCTCTCAGCCCTCCCTGCAGGATTACTATGGAATCACATTCCCTGGCCCCACTGCCACTCTCTCGAGCAGAGACGGGGGCCTCGCCAACAACCCCTACTCAGGTAGGAGCACTTTGGGTGATCATTGGCCACATCAAACCTTATCAAACACATCCATACATGTGACATCGGGGCTGCATTACCACTTTGTGGTTCAGGTGACACAATTGCTCCAAAGTGGCGCAGTTCGGATATGCGTCTTGGCAGTGTAGAGGGGAAAAAAAATGCATGGAATCAGAAATCCTCGCATCAGGAAGTATCCCAATCCAGTCCAAATAAATCGTGTGTCATTGCATTTGTTTTATTTATTTATTGTTTTATATGCGTCTTGGCAGTGTAGAGGGAAAAAAAATGCATGGAATCAGAAATCCTCGGATGAGAAAGTATCCACATTTCCTTTGTAAATCAATATCTTGAGGAGTCAATCCAGTCCAAATAAATAGTGTGTCATTGCATTTGTTTTATTTATTTATTGTTTACTGCCACGTTGTCCCCGCCAGGTGTCGATCGTCTTCATGCGGTTTGGGTGTCGTTTTTGTTCAGTTGATATCACATACTTCCGTCTCGGCGTTCAGGTGAAGTCACGAAGTTTGGAAGGAACGACTCCACCTCTCCAGCACCGCCCACGAGCCTGGCGGCTCAGCAGCAGCCCCCGCAGGGTCAGAACCAAGGCCCGAGCCCGAGCCAGCCTCAGCCTGCTCAGGCCCAGCCTCAGCCGCAGGGCCAGCCGCAGCACCACAGCAGTCAGCAGACCTTCCTGCCTCCCGGCTACAGCTACACGGGGCTGCCTTACTACGCCGGTGTGCCCGGCGCCGTACCGAGCGCCGCGGCTTTCCAGTACGGCCCCACCATGTTTGTTCCTCCGGGGGGCCCGGGACCGGCCTCGGCCAAGCAGCACAGCATGGGCCTCAGCCTGGGGAACCCGTCTGCCAGCCCGTTCCAGCAACAGACGCAGCAGCAGCCCAGCGGTTACGGCCAGCACACCTTCAGCTCAGGTCAGTGACTGCACCAAACATTGGCTGCTTAGTTTCCAGTTGTAGTAGGACACCCTTGTGGGAAGGTACCACTGTATATAGTCCAAGACTGAACAATGTATCAAATTCCAGTTGTCATTGCAATAAACTGGAATGCAATTTTCAGATCGCAAAGGCTGAAAGTTAGAGGAAAAAAAAATCCACATAAAAAAGTGCATATTTTATTTATTTATTTGTAATTGGTGCTTTCGTTTTTCAGGGTACGAGGAGCTGACAGCAGGACCGGCCGGAGTGGACTATAGTAAAGGCTACAATTCTTCCTCTCAGGCACAAGCCAAATCTGCTGCTAGCGGGCCTGGTAAAGGTAGGGCCGTGGAGACATTCAAGAGCTGATCACGACTTCTACTTCTTTTGGCAGATTTTATTGATCTCGTTTGTGGTTGCACTTCCAGGTGTTTCAGTGACATCCAGTAACTCCGGCGTGCCAGACATCAGCGGAAGTGTTTACAATAAGACCCAGGTAAGCCTTATCTTCTCTTTTGCTTCCCAACTCAATTGCACTTTTTATCGGGGCACACGCAAGGGTCCGGCTGTCGGGATGTGTGTACCCTGCTTTCGTGGTCACAAATCCACTTGAGAATTTGACAACTTGGAAGACAAGCCATTGGAAGCGAAACCATCCAAGCTTTATTTCAGACATTAGCGTTGTGATGCATTTAACTTTAGAAGCAGCATTATGCACTGCACTTATTTTACTTCAAAATCTGTGGACTGTTTTACAGTCCCAGTATTTCATTTGTGGATGGTTGTTTTAAAAATATTTTTTCGTTTTTACTCCACAATACATAGTGTGGTGTTTTTTGTTTTTTGTTTAATCTTTCACATAAGAAATACACAAAGAAAAACAACTCATATATATTTTTTTAACCCTGGTGATAAAAGTGAATTTGTTTTGTTTCTTCTCACCCTGCAGTCTTTTGATAAGCAGGGTTTCCATGCAGGGACCCCCCCTCCCTTCAGCCTGCCATCTGCGCTGGGAGGTCCAGGACCGCTGAATCCTGGAGCAGCCCCTGGAGGTTATGCACCGGCGCCCTTCCTTCACATCCTGCCTCACCAGCAACCGCACTCACAGCTGCTGCACCACCATCTCGCTCAGGATGGACAGGTAACACTTTGCACTGAGGTGAACCTCTGGGATCCCTTCCAGACCCACTCGCAATAGGCGAACATTGTATAACCGATAGTACCATCTGTTGTGGTTTTCATCTCAACCACAACACACACACACACACACACACACACACACACACCACCAATGTGCTCATTTGTGTGTTGTCCCTTGCTTCCGTGTTCAGGGCGGTCCGGGTCAGCGTGGACAGTCCAGCAGCCTGCAGCAGAAGAACCAAGTCAATAAATCGAGCTATGGCAGCTCCCCTTACTGGGCCAACTGAAGTCGCTACGCTGTGTGTATCTGCATGTGTGTGTGTGTGTGTGTGTGTGTGTGTGTGTGTGTGCGCGAGTGATATGACGTATGCATTCGTGTGCTTGTTGAGTGTGAGCGTGCATGCAGCACACTCATGCGTCTGACTGATAAAACAATGGAGGGACAAACCATTTTACAACACAAGCTAAAACACACTACCACCGGCTCTCCTTTGCTCTGTATATCCCCTTTTCAAATTTATGTCTGTTGTATGTAAAATATATTTATGTATGTATTTATACAGTATATATGTATTAGTAGAACATGAAATGTGGTTTTCTGCATTTTGTTTTATTTTGAAGGGCATTTTATTTTAAGAAAAAATGTGGAATGAGAATGCTAAATCATGAAGTTGGTGAATATACTTGAACACAAGCATCATGTGATGTAGATTCCTTTTTGTATGCATACATGAACTGAGAACAATGTACATAGATTCTAAGCATCATTTTCATGGCAATGGCCTTTTTTTTTTTTTTAGAAGAAATGTTTTTGTATTCTGGTGTCCTGCATCTGTGAATCCTTATTTGAAGTGTGACTTAAGTTGATAGCTTGAGTTCTTTTTTTCCCCCTGCAGTTTTCCCTCCATCTGTCCATCATTCCTCAAGTTCTACTAGTTGGCTGCTCACCAGCCAGGCCTTGATGTCATTCTAACATTGGTTTAATCCTTGTCCAGATTAAAATGTAAACCATTTGAGTGACTGGTTTTAGTGGTTTGTTCGGTACCATTATACAGAAAAAAAATATAGCAGTAAAATCACTCTATCAGTATTTAAATAATAAAAAACTCCCAGAACTCAAACCATAAATACATTTTCTTTTGGACTGGCATACCTAAACTTGTCCGAATTGGCCCAAGTCCAGACGTGAGCCCTTCAACCTGTAAAATGGTATCTTGACAATATACCCAAAGGAGAAAATAAACGGACAATAACTTCTTAACTGAGAATTTATTTACATAAGTACATCTTAGTTCATTCAAGGCACAAGATACAGCGTCTCTATATAACCCCCCCAAAAAAGAGGGGGGTAGGGGAGAAAAAAAAAGTTTTAATAAAATGAAAAACTGTACACAAAAGGAATTCATTCAAATCTACTCCATTCACTCTGCATCCTATTTCTTCTTTTTCTTTTTAGGCACTGTTATTTCTGGGATGTCTTCTGCCGGCTCAGCTTCAATGACCTCCGATGTCCGTTTCTTCTTCTTCTTGGCTGACTTATCAGTGTCCTCTTCTGGTACCTCAACCTCAGGGGTCTCCTCCTCTGGTTCCTCGGGCTCAGACTTGCGCTTCTTTTTCTTCTTGGTGGGAGCATCACCTGCTCCGTGCTCTGCAGCCGGCGTCTCTTCAGTTTGGACCTCTTCGGTCGCATGTTTCTTTTTCTTTTTCCCTCCGGGCGTTTCTGAGTCTCCATTAACCTACAAGAGGGGTCAATTTTTAAATCAAGTACAATTTCAGTGAATTTGGGATGTTGTGTGTTAACAAATAAGAGGTGATGTCACAGTGGATGACAATGCCGCAGCTTTTCTGGAATGTGTTGTAGCCATAAATTCTGTTGATTATTTGCTAAACTGTAAGTGTAAAGTTGATCTGTTTGAACATGAAATAACTTGGAATTAGGTTTGTAAGCTATCCAGTAATGACCGCAAGTATTTAAAGTTGTATGACTCTCTTCAGTGATCAAGCCCACGGTTTGGGGCCAGCCAATGGTTCGGAGTCAGACTAATCTTGCATGTCGCACGCTGAGACAGAACCACAGGGCATGGGTCAGATCTCAGATGTCAAAGCTAAACATGCGGAGCCGCTTTCGGAAGGAGTGTTTATTTACCTCGGCGTCACTGTTGGCACCCCCGTTTTCAAGGAGCGCTTGCTTCTTTTCACGCTTCTTGCGTTTCCTTTCCTGTTTTTCAAGCTTGCGCTTCATCTCAGCGGCAACGTCAGACGCCTGCAAGGGAGAACACAGATCGATCAACGCCGCGTGCGTCAAACCGCCGGGAAGGTCTTTCGTAGCTTCAGAATGAATACTGCATCAGGCTCATTAAATCAGTTTTGACCCTCAGCTATGATCAGGGACAACGTAGTCATCATCCACAGCGTTTAACTGCACCGGAGCGATGATGAAGACGAACGAGCTCACCTCCTTCACGGCCTCTTTCATGACATCAACATTCTTGCGCGGTAGGTCGCCCGTCTCGTAGAAAGACAGGCGCTCCTCCACCTGTTCACGCAGTTTGTCACCAAACACGCTGGAGGGCAATTCTGGGGGGAAAAAAAGCCCCAAAAACAAAATTAATCCATCCCAGAGACAACAGATGTCGCGTAGAAAAACAGTCGTCGCAGAGCTCAGAAATTATTTTTCAACATCAACCCAAAGGATGAATGCTGTTGACGAAAAATTGGAGCATCATAGCAAAGCCCGCAAGAAACGCATCAACGGTCGTCGGGAGGGGGGGTCTCACCGGAGAAGCAGTCAATGCGCGAGGCGATGGTGCACTTGTTGGCCAGATATCTGGAGATGCGGCCTTTGTTCTTGGCGGCGGCGCGGCCGATGAAGGTCGAGTGGAAGATGAGGCCGTACTTGGGCGTGTTGCCGCGAGTCTTGAGGGCTCTGTGCGAGATCACAGCTGCTTTCACACTCGGGAGGGGTTAAACGTGCAAATACGACTGCAGGGACCAAAAGGCAGCTGTTGACTTTTGACAATGTGCTTGACAAGGTTTTTGGTGGTAATTTGTTCCAATGTGCTCATCATCTAACCGTTTTGCTCTCATCTATCGCGGTGCTGTGTGTGGTTGCTCAGACTTTGGGATGCAACGGGGGGGAGCGGGGGATCACTCCGGACAAGACCGCCGGCCTTCTCAGGTCACCCTGCTCTGCTCCGGCCCAGCCCTGCCATCACCGCAACCACAGATCTCCCCGGCAGGGATGGGGTGCCCCAGTACCTGAACAGGGCCTTCTCGGCTCCCAGGATCTGCACGGTGGAGGCGGGGTACTTTGCCAGGTTGGTGAGACTGCCGGCGTGAGAGATCAGACGGGCGCCAACCTGGAAAAGAAAAATACTCAATTTGGGAGCATTTGTGTTCAGGGGGAGAACAAAAAACCCCGCCAAGGCAAGTCGGACCATCAGCACCAGAAGTTTCTCCTCACAGCGAGTCAGAGGATTGACAGATTATTGGTCAAACATCATCGGTCCCATTTGTTCCGTAGAAGCGAGCCAACCCCAAGGACTCACCACGTCTCCAATTAACGCGGCCAAGTTGGGAGCCACTTGGCCCATCTTTGAGCGCAAGTACTCCTGCAGCTCCAGACGATACGCAGTCAGGGAGACCACACGACTGGAGAACCTCTCGATGTTGATCAGGTCGATGGGTGAAATGTCCATTCCTGTGCAAAAAATAAATAAAATTTTAAAAAGTTTCTTGATTATGTCACGTCAAACTCAATGCTGGCAACACGACTCGTGTTTCTCCCGACAGGATCCGCAGCGAGGATGACAGCCTCCACTACAGGTTTATGAGAGACTTTCTCTACCCCCCTGTGTTCACCACCAGAGACACTTGCTGGCCCAAGGTGGGCGATAAAGGGGCACGGTTTGCAAACGGCATAACGATTCAACGCAAGACGAGGAGGAGACGAACCCATCGAGGAACGGGATGCGTCGAGGATGGCCTGCGCCTTGGCGTTGTCCATGACCACCTCCTCCAGGCTCTCCACGCTCTCGTCCGTCAACTCCTTCCGGTTGCCGATGAGCCGGGTTAGGCGGCAGTACATCGAGTTGTCCGGCACGATTCTCACCAGCTCGGGGAAGTGGTAACCGTACCATTCGCTGAACCACACAGGAAAAGAAGCGCTTCATTTAAACATGGCACGATGTTTTTGGAAGTGTCCTGTGCGAGATCGGCTTACCGGACACGCATGGAGAACGTGTTGATGTCCTTGTCGAGTTGGTCCAACAGCGCAATGGACTGGATGATCATGTTGTCTGCCCTGTTAACATTAAATTTCACTTTGGCCCGCGAGTAACTGTGGCCCAGACCTAGCTGGGCTTTGGAGGCCGCCACAGCCGTCAGGCCCTTCACCAGCGAGTGGAAGTGAAGACGAATCCCTGACGAGACGGGAAAAGAAGCAACGCAGAGGTTGGATTGTGTCACTTTTGAGTCGCGGGTGATCATGTGAGCAGCCGGCTGTTCAGATTTTCAGTATGAACCTTCATGAGTGTCAGGACCATATGACGCATCATAAACAGAGCGTGGGTGTGTTTCCTGTAGCGCAAACCAAAAGTCCTCGCGCAAAATACGAACCTCTTGTTAATTCTGCCACGACGCCGCCTGTCTGAATGGAAAAACCAAATTCTTCTTGCAAAGCAGCACCAATTTTGGGATCTCCGACTCCCAGTGTGGCTTTCTTCTTCCGAGATTGAGGAACGTTTGTCTCAAGGAACAACTTGAGGTCAGCATGAACCACACCTACAAAAATGAAGAGACATTTTTAATCTTGCCCGAATAAATGAAACTCGGAATGCGCAGAAATGTGTTTTTGAAACTATACCTTCATTTTGTATATAT